CTCAGGCCCAATATACAGAAGTGACTCTCTCTGCTGCTTTTTCTTCCGGGAGCTGTCACTCCCCACATCCTCTCCGTCTGGGCTGGCAGGAGATGACTTGGCAGGTGTCTGACCCGCACTGCATGCGAGATGAGAACCATCCACAGAGCCACTCTGCGTTTGGAAATGAAATGTCAGGCTCAGTATCCAGTCAGCCCTGATATGGAGATGTAATCATAGCGGGAGTATTGCAGACACGAGAGTTGTTGAGGTGTTATTTAGACAGATGTGGTGTTCGTATGACTGGTATGCCCAAGCTTATGAGTCTAGAATGAAGAGGAGCTGCAGGGGATGGGAGGAGTGTGGCTGCATTTGATTTAAAGGAAAATTGCGATATTTTGGAGAAATGTGCTTATTTATAAGAAATGTGTACTTATGGTGTTAGATGAGTCTGTAAAGCAACGGACTAACTCAGCATAGCATAAAGATTGGATACAGGGGGGAAACAGCTAGCCTAACACCTCTAATTATCAACTGGCAACTGCTTCTGGCCAAGAAATAGCCCAGGCTACCTGTCCCCCCCCCCCCGTTTACAGTCTTAGTGCTGAGCTAAGTTAGTCGGCTGCTGGAAGTACCTTCATATTTACTGTCCAGACATTAGGGTGAAATCAATACATATATTTCCAAAAAAACGTTTCCTTTAATTTAGAACTTAAGCTTTACACACATACACATAAAATAATTTCCCTCACTCAAGTATTTGAGTCATTAAAGGCTCGTGAATGAATAAAAAGTAGACAGAAAGACAACAGAAATCCTGCCGAAACATAATCAAGCTCTCCATAATTCAACTCTAAACTCAGTCATTAATTTCCTACATGACATTCAAATTGGGAATCCGCTTTAGAGTGTCAGGCAATTCCCCTTGAGCTTAAATCATAAACTTCCTTATAGCGCGGGACAAATTGATCTTATTTCAGCACCAAATGACATACAGCACATTTAAAAGGCATATAACTCTAAAACATATGTGCTGATGTGACATTTGATTAGAAGCATTTAGGGAGAATGTCTTTAATGTTAAGTCCAAGTCGCTGCTGGCAGGCGCCTCAAAGTGCACTATCGAGACAAAGTCGGGCTAATTTTCAGTAGCTCTTTCACTAAGCCTGACAGTACATGAGGGGAATGATGGCATAACCTGTGGTTTCTCAAAGAGGGGATTCAGAGTTTAGTCAGGATTTTTCCTCTTAAGATGGGGACACTGATAGGGCTTAGGAGTTAAACTAACATATGGAGCAAATAGAGAGGGCTCTTGATTTGATTTGGCTTCTCTTTGTCATTACTCATGTGGGGTAGAGATATTTACTTAGGGTGATAACTGGTGGAAGAATGACAAGAAAGAGCAGAGAGCAGGGATGTTTTCTATTTGCTTGTGGATTTGCGTGTTTATTTTAGATTTTTGATGATGTTAATAGTAAAAGTAGGGTCACATCGTTTTTACTGGAGAGATCAAAGATGAAGTAGTGAACAGTATTAATATATTTGAGGTAGTATGCTGTCTATGTTGTACTCCAGATTGTTCCAATTTCATAAAGATATTTAAAATTCAAATGAGAAATGACACTTTTATAGGAGTCTCATGCTTTCTGTCTCTTTAGGCATAAAGATAAGCATCAAGCAAGTAAGCGGGTGCATTAAAGCAGTCAAAGGAATAGTTTTAAATTTTGGGAAATGGGTTGATTTTCTTTTTTTGCCGAGAGTCTGATGAGAAAATCGATACCACTCTCATATCTCTAGGATGAATATGAAGCTACAATCGATCAGTGTAGCTTAGCATGAAGACTGGAAACAAGTAGAAACATCTATCCTGGCTTTAAAGCTGTTATTCTAACAAACAGGATGTAACATGTTTTAGGGGTTACCTAAAAGAAGGAGCCAGGTAAGCTGTTTCTCCCATCTGTATGCCGAGCTGAGCTGTAGCCTGGTATCCAGTAGCCTTTTATTTAATACACACATGCGAGAGTGGTGGTGACCTTCCTGTCTAACTCTTGCCAAGAAAGCAAATTTCCCAAAATATCAAACCATTCTTTTTACAAAAGCTTTCCTAGCTGTTAGATATTGTTTAAACTTCCTTCACTGTGCCTCCCAGCCTTCTTCCAGAGGCTTAACATCATTTAGACTTTCTCTACTCTTTGAAGACTGATAAAAGGTTGTGGTGGTGGAACTATGTGAATGTGTGTGTTTATGTACAAGAATGAGGGCAGGACTTTGGTTCATTGGCCCACTGATAGAGTCTGAAGGGATGGGGATCAGACCTCAGACAGCAGCCTGCCAGACAACCACAGAGTGTAAAGATCATCTCAAACCTTGAGGATATTAAAAAATGATCAAGTTGAAGGCAGACTCTGCATTTGAGTACTACACAGGTGCTGTAGTCCTGACCTGAAGTACTTTTTACTGTTAAAAACCTTCTTTCAATACTTTACATATTACATACAGAATGAAACATAAAAAGTATTACATATTTTAATGGAAACAATAGCCTATGTCCATCAAATATTGTGTTCTAATAGGTGCTAATAAACCTAAATTCCTGATCCCATTTTATCTGACTGTGTAGATAAAAAAAGGAGAGTGCCCCCTTGCCGGCTGACGAAGGACTTTATTTTTACCACCAAAGTTCAGTTTATTTTAAGTCCTGACATCTGAAGCGACTCCCGAGCCATCCGTCTGGACGCCGTGACTCCTCAGAAGAAACAAAAAAGAGAGAGAAAGAGTGTACTGTGTTTTCTTTCCTTCTGGTTTGTTTTCCAGTCTCCTTTCAAAATGAACTGGGGTTTTAAGTTGGCTGCTTCACACATGGTGTGGTGGCGGGGACAGAGAGAGAGGGGGAACGCAAGGGAGAGATATGAAAAACAAGATAAATTTTATTCCATTGAAAACTTTTAGCTTGTGTCAGGTTGTGTCAGGCTTCTTATTGAGCTTGTGTAAGCAAGAACAAATCACACGAAATACATTTAGATTCATAAGAAACTGGTGAAAGAAAAGTCAAGGCTGAAATATTCCACATGTATAATTCAATGCAGCAGTCAGGTGTCTGTAGTTTGACCTTTATGGTATTAAAGCAATACTCAAAACACTGAAATTAGAAACGACAATCACATAATCTTACAAATGAAAGTCACTCACCCATGTTTAATTCAATAGTGTTTGGGGTTTTGCTACTACAGCCTTACTTGGTCTGGTATGAGTAGATTATGGTGGCTAATGTTAGGTAATGTGAGCAAACTTTATCTACAATCCTAATATATTCTCAGCAATCCTATATTGCTGTGTAACTGACATTACTGATTTTATGACTATTCTCTACTTGTGCTATTTTTACATTACGATTTAGCATCAGCCATTATCCCATAATTGGTACTTGTGGTCACAGTGAGTGACCGCTGTTTAGCAAAAGTTACATATTTTTACTTTAAGCTAATGTCGCCCATCTTTCTCTCAGGTGTTGAACACCAATTGGGCTGGGTTTGTAGCCATTGTCTATTTTGGGTTACTTGCAACCTGGGGGTGCTTTTCTGAAGCATGAACTCCCTTAGTTAGATTCTCTACCTATCTAGTAGGTAGGGTAGGTTTTTCTCCCCAAAACTGCAATGATTGCATTGCATTTCTCTAAAGCATGTGCATGATTTAACCGTCTATGTTTTAAAATTAACTTGTCTTTCCACATTTAGACATTTAGTGGCATCCTGTTTACCAATATTCTTTTTTTAGAGAAGTCATTCCTATGAAGGTATTCATGCAAGCCATAATTGTTTCTTAGGACAGCTAGAGTGATCATGATCCATTTGGAATTTGAATTATTAGAATCATATTCATTGTCATCTTACTGTCTATTAAGACACCAATTCAAAGCAGTAGTATCATCACCAGCCGTTTACATTTGGTTAATACTATTACTGCTGTAAATATATTCACATAAATCTTCCAATGATTGCGTCGTTAATACAGTGATTAATGACAAGCTTTGCCTCCAAACAGCGTCTCAGAGCTGTTGTTCCAACAACAAAACCTCTGACGTACTGTTTTCAGGAACACTAAAACTGTCAACGACGCCTCAGCAACAAAATCTACGACCGTATTAGGCAACAGTGCTTTTGCGAAACGCATCCTGCATGTTTTTATAGTTTCACTGTTTTTAATTGGGCTGTGTCTGTGAGCTTCTTGTTTAATGCTCTCTTGGCCCCGTCCTGCCTGTAAATTATTGTTCCTCTCAGCATGATTATGCTGCTTTACTAGATGGATGGATGGATGGAGGGATGAATTTGTCAGTGCGTAACACCACTTACCCTCCTGCAGCACTACGATGCTGAAACATTTTCTCATAACTCCACAGCACAGATGCTTCATTGGCTCTGGGTCAGGGGAGGCTAGCTGCTGCACGCAGAAGCCCATATGGGACGAGCACTGAAGAGGAACCAAAACTCAATAAACACGGCACTGGTGAGGGAGGGAGTTCAAGGGTGCGCTTGTCATGATGGAGGCTATAGTGAGCGCTCCAGTGGCTGCTGGGGTTTTGATGCTGTAATGTGAAACGGCTGGGGGAAAGAGGACTATAATTCCTCTCTTTGTCTGGTCTCCGCCCCAGCGTCACCCCTCTCTCCTCTCCTCAGCGGACCCTCACCATAGCCAAACTCATCATCTCCCTCTCCGTCTATCTGCCTGCGTCTGCCACCCATCACGCCGCCTTGATCACTTGTTCTCACTCAGGCTCCGTCTAGCGTTACCGTTTTCGCTTCATAACTTTCTTTGTTTTTGCTCTTTTCTCATTGTCTGCTGTTTTATCTCCTCATTTCATCCGACCAGAGCGTTTCGATTTTGGCCATGTTCCTTGTTCTGTCGGGTCATGATAATATCTTTTTCAGAAATGTTCCCATAAAATATCCTGACACCAGAATAATAGGCATTATGATTCCACTATCTCAATCCTCTTCCCTTTCTCTTTCTTTCTCTTTCCTCAGTCCCCTGTAGTATCTGTGGGCTTTGCCAGGTTTCATCCCAACCTGGTGGTGGGGGGGACTTACTCGGGACAGATCGTCCTGTGGGACAACCGAAGTCACCGTCGGACCCCCGTCCAAAGGACTCCTCTGTCTGCTGCTGCACACACTGTAAGGCTGGCTCCATTATCACTATCACATTGTTAAAGTGAGAGCAGGGACTGTGACTCAGAACACTCATCGATAGAGTTGCTGATATTTTTTTATGTTTGACACATTTACAAATTTACAAAACATACAAAATTAACTTAAAGAACAGATCTGTGCCTTAGTTTTCAAGTTCACTTTTTTAGAAGCTGTGTAAACTGTAATGGACATTTTTCACTATTTTCTTACATTTT